CATCCAGCAAACCAGCTGATTGATTTACAAAATATCAATTCTGTATAAATATTGGGATGGTAATATCTTTGATGTACCCTATGATCCTATCAATGAGACCCTCTTTGGCTGCTCAGCGCAGCAGGAACCACTACCCCTCGAGGTGTTATGCAAAGGACGACGCCTCTAGGCACTAGTGGACAGCGGTGCATCTCACTCGGTGTGTGACCGCGGAACGTTGGAGAAAATTGGAGAACCTTCGAAGGAGACCAAGTTCACAGCAACGATGGTGGACGGTACAAAACTTCCCATCCATGGCGAAGCATCACTGCAGGGGCGCTGAGGTGGAAACCGACGTTGCCGATCACGAACATCAAGGGTTTAGATTTCATCTTGGGCGAGATTTCCTGAAGCGGTTCAACCCCGAGATTGACTGGGTCAACAGGAAGGAGTGCATCTACAACAATGAAAAACGAGTGGAGCTGCGAAGCTGGACGGATACAGGGAGCATTCCTAAAACAACACTGGCACGGTTCGAACAGACGGTGAACGAGAGTAACACGGGTTACTTAGCACTGGTTATGGCAGCAGCAGAGGAGAAGCTGAACACAGAGCTACCTGTAGCAGTGAAGGAGGTCTTGGAGCAGTACAAGGATATAATGCCCGACGACCTACCTGTAGGCGTACCTCCAGCACACACCCACAAGCACGAGATCGTGGAGGAACCAGTTGCGAAACCCGTCTCACGTACACCATATCAACTGAGTCCGACCGAACTGACAGACATGAAAAAACAGATCGAGTATTATCTGGACAGACAACTGATCCGCCCATTCACCTCTCCCTACGGTGCACCCATTCTCTTCACTCCAAAATCAGACGGCAGTTTACGGATGTGCATCGACTACCACGCACTGAACAAACAAACAATCAAGAATAAATATCTCATGCTGCTCATAGTCGATCTTCTAGACCAACTGCGTGGTGCAACAGTCTTTTCGAAGCTGGACCTACGGTCGGGTTACTGGCAGATCAAGATGGCAGACAACTCGGTCCACAAGACGACGTTTCGTACCAGATACGGCTCCTACGAATACTTGGTGATGCCAGGCAGAGATGAATCATATCCTATGGCCCCTGTTGCAAGAATGCGTGGTGGTGTACCTGGACGACATTCTCATCTACTCCAAGAACATGAAGGAGCACGTGGAGCATCTGTGGAAGGTGTTTGAGATCCTGCGGAAAAACAAGTTCTACGTGAAGCTATCGAAGAGCGACTTCGCCCTGAAGAAGGTGCAGTTTCTCGGGCACATGGTGAGTGCCGAGGGCGTACACGTGGAACCGCGGAAGATCGAAGCCGTCAAGAAGTGGAAAGTACCAGAGAACGTAAATGAGTTGCAATAGTTCCTAGGCTTCGCCAAAAGGTTCATGCCGCATTACGCTGAGATAGTAGCGCCACTAACTGACCTACTGAAAAAGGATACGCCCTACAAATGGGATACTCCTCATCAGCAAGCCATGGAGCAGCTACAGACAGCACCTACAGCGCCAGTTCTCATCCTACCGGACTCATACAAGGACTACGTGGTGGAAGCAGACGCTAGCGACCAAGCAGTCGGAGCAGTACTGATGCAGGATCACGGACGCGGATTGCAGCCCATCGCCTACCTCAGTAAGAAGCTACACGGAGCAGAACTGAACTACCCCATCCATGACAAGGAGGCCTTAGCAATAGTCATAGCCTTCAAGGCGTGGAGGTGTTACCTAGAGGGAGCCAAGACTACAATCTATACTGACCACTGCAGTCTCAAATACCCGAAGTCGCAACCGACGCTCTCACGACGACAGGTGCGGTGGGTGGACTTCCTAGAAACTCACTTCCACTACGACATCGTCCACAAACCCGGGCTACACAACAAGGCAAACGCGTTGAGCCGCCCCGGTCATGTCGCAGGCATCCAGCTCGATGGGATGAACCCTCTGCTCAAGAGTGTATTCCAACGTGGATACTCCGTGCATGCAGAGATCGCTACAGCACAAACTAAGAAGCTTTTACAGTGGGAGAAAGACTTAGCTGTAAGGAAGGGCACATGAAAGATTTGGGTACCGAACTATGCCCCGCACCAACAGATTCTACTGGAAGAGTTTCACGACGTACCATACGCGGGACATTTCCGGAGCAACAAGACGTTAGCAGGGATAGCGTAGTATTATTACTGGCCCGGGATGGCAGCAGATGTGCAGCAGTTCGTCACCTCATGCGACACATGCCAGCGGATGAAGAGTAGCAAGCAGAAAAAAGCAGGGTTACTTCAGCCTCTACCCGTACCGGAGCAGCCATGGCAAGTCGTTAGCCTCGACTTCATCACGGGACTTCCTTCGACCTTACGAGGGCATGACGCTATACTCGTGGTGATCGACAAGTTCTCCAAAATGGTTCACTTCATCCCGACCAATGCCACGGCTACAGCTCAAGCAAATGCTCGCCTCTTCTTCGACCGCATCATCACCATACACGACATCCCCGCTACACTCATCTCAGATAGAGACCCAAAATTCACGAGTAAGTACTGGAAGGAGCTCATGGGACTGTTGGGGACAAAACTTGCGATGTCTTCAGCATACCACCCCCAGACTGACGGGCAGACAGAGCGACTCAATTAGATGGTTGAACAGCCACTGGGATACACAGTTACCGACCCTAGAGTTCGCTTACAACAGTGCGTCACATGCGGCCACAGGGAATTATCCTTTCTTTCTGTGCTACAGACGGGAACCACTTACACCACAACATCCAACCATACCGGCACACGTCCAAACCGCACACGACTTCGTCACCACCATGCAGCAGCAATGGGAGAAGACTCAGCGACGTCTCACCACGATGTAGAACTCCCAGAAGCAGTATGCCGATCGCCAGCGTCGTGATCACACGATAGCAGTTGGAATTCAGGTGCTCCTCGACACACGCAACTTGAACCTGTCTCACCTACCATCCAAACTCCGGCCTCGCTTCTGTGGTTCTTTTCACGTTGAGGCACAAGTGACACCAGTAACATTCAGCTTGCGCTTACCTACTACGTGGAAGCTTCACACCGCTTTCCATGTTCAGCTACTGAAGCCCTACAAGGACCCCAACAAACAGTTCCAAGGATGGCAGCTACCGCCACCACCACCTGTTCTCATACACGATGAACTAGAGTACGAGATCGAGCGAGATCTCACTCATCGGCGCCGCGGCGGCAAGACCCTCGAGTTCCTGATACGCTGGAAGGGATACGACCCCACTGAAGACAGTTAGGTTGCAGAAGCTAATATGGGCAATGCACGCCGTGCTCTCAAAGACTATCTTGTCAAGCAGGGTGTATCTCACGCCACCCAGCTTTGAGGGGGGGAACGTGTGAGAGTACGACGGCTTATGCTGGATTTGCTAGCTTGCCTGGACTTTATTATGCTATATCTAGCTTGGGTTTTAATTATCATGCATAGATATGCTTGATTTCCTAGGTTAGGTGCATTCCTATATTTTATTATAATTATAGCACCGAACCAGGTTACGTGTACCGAACTCAAGTCTATTCGGTTTCCACCAAATAGTTTTCTACCGAGTTCGGGAAGGTTCTGTTCGGGACGCTTCGCGACCCTCAGAACATTCGTGTAACATCTGCGTTACTTGCCTTGTGTCGAGCTTATATATAGCCTCGTGTTGTACCCAGGTGGATCATTCAATTTAAACCCACTTTTCCGAGCTCGATCCTAGATCCTCACATAGATGGTGGTGCCAAATGTCACCGAATATGCACGGTCGTGCATATAAGGTGCCAGTTTTGCTGCAGTGTAGTTCTGAGTGTAGTATTACTGTATGTGAACATTTGGGGTGTAGGTAGTTGGGGACTAGGGAGAGTGTCGCAAAGTTGGTAGGAGAGCTCCGAGGAGTGCAATCCAAGGAACCAATGTGAATGCACCAATCCAGGCTCGAGGCGCACATTGAGAAATGCACGCTTCGAGCCTGGCCAGGTAAATTCACTCTCACACACACACTCGTTGCTTTCCGCTTGTTATCCTTTCGTATAGTGGAACGTTGTTACCTTAATCTTGCAGCTAGGTGACACACCACTCAAGGAGGACCCTTGGGGTGGGAGCTTCGTCTCTTTCATAACAAGCGGAAAGGGTGCGTGCGTGCAAGGATGGACGGTTTTGAGCTGCGTTATGGCAGGACCTATGGTCGTCGCGAGAAGGATCGCTTGAGGCGCGGATACTCGCGCGAGTGTGGGCGATCGCTGGAGAGGTCACCGCGGAGGCCAGATCGATCGCCGCAAAGGCCTGCCTTTCGTGCGGATCAGGTGCCTCTCGGGCCCGAGCGCCGAGAGGGAGGATCTGCTCGAGAAGGAGCAGGCAGATCGGAGTCGGTCATGGCGGGGAGTGATCCATGGCGGACGGAAGCGCGCCATGGAGCAGGTGGTGATCTTTGGTATCGCCAAAAGACGGGAGCGTATTGCTCGCCAGAAGCAAGCTATCGTCGTCGCGAAGATCGGAGTCACGGGCGAGGCTTGGAGGGACTGTTTTCGGGCCAAGAGGGACACCTCAACGCCGGCGGAGAAGGAGAGGACGACGCGGCGGATACCTCGCAGGAATCTGAGCACGACAACGTGGTAGAGGACGGCGACAAAGTCCGGAAGGAGGACGCAGGCGAGCAGCGCGACATGCCCGCGGAAGCAACGGAGGCAGACCCTGCGGCATGCGAGGCGGAAAAGTTAGGCGAAGGGGAGACGGGCGGAACTGGTGGCGTACGAAGCGCGTGAAGTGAAGCGCACGTTTCTGGGCAGAAGGCGTATGGCGGGGAGCAGGGCGGAGACGCGCAGCACTCGCCAGATCCGCGTCAGCAGCATGACGGAAAGCGGGGAAGTGGTCCGCGCGCGCCAGATTTGCACCGCATCGTGACGAGAGGCGAGGAGCCGGGTCGCGTTCCCCTGATCTGCGTCAGCATCGTGACGGGAGGCAGGGGGGCGGGTCGCGTTCGCCTAATCCGCGTCAGCATCGTGACGGGAGGCGGGGAGGCGGGTCACGTTCGCCTGATCCACGTCAGCATTGTAACGGGAGGCGGGGAGGCGGGTCGCGCTCGCCGGATCCACGTCAGCATCGGGGCGGGAAGCGGGGAAGCGGGTCGCGCTCGCCGGATCCGTGGAGATATCGCAGCGGGAGGCGGGGAGGCGGGTCGCGCTCGCCTCAGCAGCATCACGGAGCGTGGGGAAGCGGGCCGCGCTTGCCGGATCTGCACCAGCGTCGTGAGGGAAGGCGTGGAGGCGAGTCGCGTTCGCCAGATCGGTACCAAGAACGGGGTATGAGCTGGGGTAGCGAATATTGCTCGCTGGATCCGTATCCACAGCATGACGAGAGGCATGGAGGCAGGCTGCGCTCGCCAGAACGTGATCTGCAGCGAAGACAGGGAGGGAGATGGGAAGAGGAGGGGCGCCAGCGGGACTATCGTCGCGGGCAGGAAGGAAGGAGAGATCTACGATCCCCGACACCTGAGCCGCGCTGGCAGCACCGAGGGCAAGGGGAAGAATGGGCGCGTGCGTGTCACTCACCAGATCGGCGAGGAAAGATGGGTGGGGAGGAAAGGCGATGGGAAGCAAGGCAGGATCAGCAGAGAAGCAAGGGTGTGGGCAGAGGTCTGGCAAATAGCATGGAACGCGCCAGAGAAGCAAGAAAGGGAATTGAGCTGGCTAGAGGAGGGGGAACGTCAGCAAGGCAGGAAAAGGGGCCAAGCGAGTCATGGGGCGAGGGTCGTGGAAGTGCAGCGATGGTTGCATGGGTGGAAGTGCCGGCGCGGTTCTCAGGAGACCAGCGCGTGGGGCCAACACTGAAGAATTACTTGATGCAAGTGGGGAACGTGAGATACAGGTGCAAGAGAAGTGGCATGGATGCAGTAGACTTCTTCCTGAGTTTGCCGAACACACTGGAAGGGGAGGCAGAGACACTGTACAGAATGAGGACGAATGAGCTGCTAGAGAAGGCGGGCCGGTACGGGGAAGACCCCACGGAGGCATTTCTGAAGCGGCTGCAGCGGCAGTTTCCTGGGCATACCGCAGAGAAGATAAGAGAATTTCAGGACTTCAGGAAGGGGAGGAGTGAGTCCTTACTCACCTATTACAATCGGCTGATTAACTTGGCAGAGGACTTGACTTGTGAGGACATGGGTCTCCTAGTTAGTAAATTCTTGGATGGGTTGGACAGCTCCATGGTAAATGGGTTGCGCATGAAGGTGTATGAATTGGGGGCAGACACGACGCTGGATGAGGTCTTCGAGTTGGCAGAGAAGATGGAGCTCGCGCAGAGAAAATACGAAGCATACAGGCCCAGGGCTATGGAGAGAAGCCGGGGGCCAACCTGGGCAGCAGCGATCATACCTGAAGAGAGGGACAGGGCAGCGGGGCGAGGAGAGGGCAGGCCAGAAACTCGGACATGCCACCGATGCGGACAGCCGGGACACCTTCGCAGGGACTGCAAGAACTGTGACTGTTGCAGGAAGCCTTGGCACCGGCGGCGGGAATGCCCTGAAGCACGAAGTGTGAGGTCTGTGGCAAGGGAGGACTCGTGGCAAAGGACTGCTACCAGAAGGATGGAGTGGCGAAGAGGAAGCTGTACGAACAGGAGAAGCAGATTAGTCGGCTGCAGGCTCAGTTACAGGCATTAGGACCGCGACGAGAAGCTGAAGCGGGAATGTATGCCAGGGATGAGGAGGAAGAGGATGTAGAACAAGAAGAGCGAGCTGCACTCATGGCTTGGGGAGGAAGGGGGGATGACAGGGAAGAGGAAGAAGAGGATGTGGAACGGGAGGGGCAACCAGCCTTCATGGCGTGGAGGGGAAGAGAAGAGATGGGGCTGCAAAGCGGAGTGAAGGATGCTAGAAGGGAACATGTGAAGAAGGAACGGGAAAAGGGGCAGAAGCCAGAGGAGGAGGAGAAGTGTACAGCTGCACGTCACCCGCAGGAGAGATTGGCATGTCAGACCTCAGTACTGTTGATACAGAATGGAGCACTGACCGTGGAAGGGGAGAAGGCAAAGACAACCATTATAGACACAGGGGCACAGAGCGTCATACTGGGGAAAAGGATGGCTGAGAAACTGGGTTTGTGGGCGCCGGACAGACACTTAGTGAAGGGGATGTTGGTGATGACATCAGAGGGGGGAGAATCGAAGTGGATGCCGTGCACCAGGACTCCAATAGAGCTGACGGTACTGCAAGGGGAAAAACACGAGACACAAAGTCAGAATCAGGTGCGGAATTCGAAGTCAGAGGATTTCGACGTGTTGGTGGGCACGGAGATGATATTCGCATTGGGCATGACGATATGCTTTTGGAAGGAGAGTGTGGAATTCAGAACCAGGTGGTGGAGAAAGGGGGAGCCGCTAGGCCAGCAGCCGGTGCAATTCGTGAAAACTGAGCCAAAGAGGGCCTACCGCGCGGATCAGAAGGAAATGACAGCAAAGCAGGGGGCACAAGAGAGTGCGGCTGGCAAGGGAGAGGAAATGGACCAGCGGATGAGCTTCATGAACAAGCCGTGCCAACAGACAGACTGGCAGCAGCCCATCCGACTGGTGGAGCTGTTTGGGGGAATAGGGGCGGGGTTGGCAGCAGTGGTGAGGAACAGGATAGCTGTGAAGCAGTGGATATACGTGGAGCAGGCACCAGAGGTGAGGAAAATGGCAGAGCATCATGCTTGGAAGCTGCAGGAGGAATTTCCAGAGCTGCTGAAAGAGGAAGTGATCAGGGCGGCAATGAGCAGAGGCGTACATGACGTGAGGGCAATAACGGAAGCCGAGGTAGCAAGCTGGGGGCATGTGGATCTGTTAGTGGCAGGGTGGGATTGTCAAGGTGTGTCATGGGCTGGAAAGGGGAAGGGTGACCAGGACCACAGGACCAAACTGATGGAAGACTTGTTCAGGATCATAGAATGGCTACAGGATAGGCAGGGCCGGCTGGCGTACCTGCTAGAACACCTGGATATGGAAGGAGATGTTCGGGAACCTGTGAGGAGGGTGAGAGAGAGGGTGAAGAGACAAGTGGGCAAAGGAGTTAGCAGCGACGCGGTGCGGATGGGAGCATTTGCCCACCGACTCAGGATGTACTGGCAGAATGTTGTGCCAGCGGAAGTACTGCAGAAAGAGATAGAGGGAGTGGAGAGGGCAGGAGGACGGAAGGTGAGCGGCATACTGGAACCGGGAAGGACTCCGGCACCAGTCAGCAAGAGAAGTTACAGCAAGCATTACCCATGCAATCAGGTGGGACATGAGAGGCACGCCCTGCCCACTCTGGTGTCATACGAAGGGGCAGCAGGATACCGGATGGAGGGAGAGAAGCCGGGGCCAGGGCTGGTGTATGACCATAAGAAGGGACAGTGGGAGGAACCTACAGCCTTGGAGCGAGAACTAGTCATGAGATACGGGGAGAACATCACAGCAGCGCCTGGGGTAAGTGAGCAGGAGAGGAGGAGGGCAATGGGGAACGCCATGGATGGCTACATGATGCGGTGGATGGTGCAGCGGATGTGGAGGGAGACAGTACTCCACTGGGGATGGAAAGAAGAAGAGGCTGATGCAGCGACGGTTAGGCAAGGGGTTTGGGTCTACCAGGAAGGGGAAAAGCCAGAGTGGAAGATAGGAGAGAACCTGAGTGAGGAGGGGAAGGAAGCAATGCGGACACTGCTGGCCAAACATCGTAAGTGCTTTGCCTTCTCATTGCAGGAATTGGGGAAGTTTACAGTCAAGGAAATGGCGCTGAAGATGAGCAGTGATGAGCCGGTGTTCCATAGGAGAAGGAAAATGCCACCTGCAGACGAGGAGATCTGCAGGGAGAAAATAAAGGAGTTGCTGGAAGCAGGCCTGATCAGAAGGTCAGAGTCAGAGTACGCCACTCCAACTGTGGTAGCAGCGAGGAAGGACTTGACCGGAGAAGTGCTGAGCAGGAGGATGTGCGGGGATTACAGGGCACTCAACAAAATAACAGTGTTGGACAGGTACCCCATGCCCATGGCCGAGGAAATCTTTGACAACCTGCGACAGGGCTTCAATCAAATCAAGATCAGGGAAGAGGACGTGAGGAAAACAGTTTTTCACGGGCCGGATGGGCTGTACGAGTGGCTGTACATGCCTCTTGGCTTGAGGAATGCTTCAGCAATGTTTCAGAGGGTAGTGGATGCCGTGCTAAGGGGAGTGGAGTGTGCGGAGTGTTACATCGATGATGTTGTCATCTTCAGCATGACCGAACAGCAGCACCTAAAGGACGTGGAGAGGACACTAAGCGCAATAGAAGGGGCGGGGCTCACCTGCCACTCGAAGAAGTGCCGCTGGGGGGAGCAGACGGTGCAGTACCTGGGGTATGAGGTGCAGGGAGGACAGATAGGGATACAACAAGCGAATGTGCAGGTGCTGGAGAAGCTGAGGGAGCCGCGTGACAAGTCAGGGCTGCGGGCAGCCTTAGGCTTCCTAAGCGACTACAGACGCTTCGTGCCCAATTTCAGCAAGAGGGCGACAGTACCGAACGGAATGCTGCGAGAGGACAAGGCGTGGGAGTGGGGAGAAGAGCAAAGGGAAGCATTGCAGGTCTTGATGACTGCAGTGAAAACCGCGACAGTGCTGCAGTTGCCCGTGGCAGACAGACCCTTCACCCTCTACACCGATTGGAGCAGTCAAGGGATGGGGGCAATTCTCTGTCAGGAGGTAAAGGGGACCAAGAAGGTGGTCGCTTATGTTAGCCGGAGCTGCAATACGGCAGAGGCTAAGTACAGCTCATACATCGGCGAAGGACTGGCAGCAGTGTGGGTGGTGGGGCACTTCAGGGTGTACTTACAGGGCAGAGAGTTCACCTTGGTCACTGACCATCAGCCACTCACATGGCTGATGACCACACCAGGGCTGACGGGCAGGAACGCGAGGTGGGCAGTGAAGCTGCAGGAGTATGACTTTAAGATCCAGCATCGACCAGGAAAGACGCTACAGCACGTCGATGGCCTTTCCCTCAACCCGCCGCCACTGGAGCCTGAACAGACCGTGCTGGAGACAGGACGGACAGAGCTGGAACGCGCGCAGACACTGATCTTGCTGGCCAGAGAGGTGGAGCAGAACGGCGCTAAGGGTAGCAAGGGGCCAGCTGACATCTGGCAGGATGAGAAGGCAATGGAATGGGTGAAGGGAGAGACCGAGGAGGACGAGATAGTGTCTGAGAGGGTGAGGGCGCGAAGACACCACTACAGGTGGTATCAACAGCAGCTGCTGATAAAAACCGAAGATGGATGGAAGCTGGTGCCAAAGCCACAGGAGCAAGAAGTAGTGATCAGAGAAGTGCACACTAAGCTGGGGCATTTCAGGCATGAGAGGACTGTACATCTGCTGAAGACGGGCTGGTGGTGGGAGGGGATGCGCAAGCAGGTGAAGGAGTGGGTAGAGGGGTGTGAGGCATGTCAGAGGAGCAAGGCCAACCTGACGCAGGCCAAGGCAGAGCTGCATTCACTACCCATCTGTGGCTTGGGATTTCGATGGTCCCTGGACCTGGCGGGAGAGCTGCCGTTAAGCAGGAGCGGAAACCAGTACATAGTGCTCATGGTTGAGCATGTGCGTAAGTGGCTGGAGGTGAGAGCAATCCCTAGCAAGAGTGCAAGGCACATTGCAGCGGCTTTCAAGGCGCAGGTAGTGTGTCGCTTTGGAGAGTGCGGAAAGGTGCGTACAGATCAAGGAACCGAGTTCCAGGGGGAGTTCAAGAAGTTGCTGTTGGAATCTGGCATCACTCACTGACGCACCTCCTGCTACCACCCACAAAGTGACGGGCTGACTGAGCGCATAGTACAGACCAACAAGCGAGGGCTGCGTACCTATGCGGAGCAGAGAAAGAGGGATTGGGATGACGAGCTGGACTGGATAGCGGCTGGGTACAAATTCGGGAAGCAGGCAGCACTGCACGATCATTCACCCTACAGTCTGCTATATGGTCGAGAGCCGATTCTGCCAGTGGGGGCACCACGGGTTCTGACAGACACAGTGACAGCAGGCACAATCAAGAACTGGGTGGCCTTGTCTGATGTCCGGGCGCGCTACATGCGCTTCATGATGCCGGCCGCGCTGGAGAACCTGCACACCGCGCAGCTGCGAGATGCCAGGAGATATGAGCAGAGGCAACGCAAGGGGGAGGGGAGAGTGCAGAGGGGCGAATGTGAAGGACATGAAGTCTATCTGAAGAGAGCGAAGCAGGACAATCTGGATGTGGGATTGGGGACAGTGCGTTGGAGAGTCAAGGAAGTGCACCCTTCAGGGTGCTGGTACTGGAAAATGAGAAGTGGGTGCAGTTGAAGGAACACCAAACGAACACCACTGTGATAAGGGGGACCGGGCCTCAGCGTACTGGTCCTGTGACCCGCGCTCAAGCTGCTCAAGCACGGGCACAGGAGGGGGCAGGGAGTGGCTGAGGCAGCACAAGAAGCCAAAGAGAGGAAGAGCATCAGAATGAAGGACAGATGGCAGGCAGAGCTGTTTCTCCGACAGCTGTCACCGAATATGCACGGTCGTGCATATAAGGTGCCAGTTTTGTTGCGGTGTAGTTCTGAGTGTAGTATTACTGTATGTGAACATTTGGGGTGTAGGTAGTTGGGGAGAGTGTCGCGAAGATGGTAGGAGAGCTCCGAGGAGTGCAATCCAAGGAACCAATGTGAATGCACCAACCCAGGCTCGAGGCGCCATTGAGAAATGCACGCTTCGAGCCTGGGCCAGGTAAATTCACTCTCACACACACACTCGTTGCTTTCCGCTTGTTATCCTTTCGTATAGTGGAACGTTGTTACCCTAATCTTGCAGTTAGGTGATACACCACTCAGGGAGGACCCTTGGGGTGAGAGCTTCGTCTCTTTCATAATGGGAGTGGCTGAGGCAGCACAAGAAGCCAAAGAGAGGAAGAGCATCAGAATAAAGGACAGATGGCAGGCAAAGCTGTTTCTCCGACACAGAGGACCGGACGGTGGGTGAGTGACCGATAGACGCATGACACAGTAGCTACCTGACCTGACCTGACCTGACCAAAGTCAGTGTGGTGGAATCCAGTGTGTAGTGAGTACAGACCAGAGCCTGGCTCCCTGTGGAAAGTGGCCAGAGGCCCCCCAGTGGCACCGACTGTGCAGAAGGCAACATGCTCGTCTAGTGGGAAAGTAGTGACTACACCTAGGTCGTGGTGGTAACTGACACCCACCAGATTCCTTGAGAACGAGGGGGTGTAGTAACTTGTGAGAAACCCAGAGGGAGCCGCCGGACACGGGAGAGTGGTGGTGCTGCGTGAAACTACAGGTCCCACAGAGGGGTCAGCCAAGGCGACAGTGACTGGAGAGCGCAGTGGTGTGAGGTTAGTACAGTCGCCAAAGAAACAGCTGGAGGGTCCAGAGTCTAAGGTGAAGGAAAGTTGTGCAGTCTGTGAGGTCGCGTCCGAGCCAGCAACAAAGGCTGGTACTAGACTACTGGTAGTTGCAGATCCTACACAAAGACCCTCAGAGGCCCCTGGACTGGAAACAACACACGCACCAAGACTGGAAATACAGGTCTCTACTCGTGCAGCCGGGAAAGATCCTAGGCCAGGCAGGTGAGACTCAATTGGTGCAGCAGTGCGCCGGCGAAGACGCGAGGGCCAGTGCGGTGTAATAGTGTGAGGACCAAAAAGCTCACGGTGAAGGTCGTCGAGTCGACGGTAGCAACTGGACGCAGAGTGGTCAGGACTCCAGCAAGTAATGCCAGCACCAGGGCCTGTCAGGGCCTGGTACCCGCAGGGGCCGACGTCTCGCCTACTGCTAACTGAGCCACTACTGGGGGCGCCACACTTTGGACCCGAAGGTCCTCACTGCCGGGAGTGCTGCGGCTGGCCCTGCTGCTGTAGAACTCTAGTACACGCCATCTGAGGAGCTAGAAACGGGGGGTTGCGCTGGTGGTAGCCTAAGCTGCTGCTGGTGCGCTGGGGGCAGCCTATGCTACTGCTGGTTCTGCCTGTGGCAGCCTACGCTGCTGCTGGTTCTGCTGGGGGCAGCCTAAGGTGCTGCTCGTTCTTCTGGGGGCAGCCTATGCTAATGCTGGTGCAACTGGGGGCAGCCTAAGCTGCTGCTGGTGCTCCTATGCTCGTTCTTCTCCCCTGCTCTCCTCTTGTTCCCTTTGGTCATCTGCTCGCCGTTCTTCATACATGCCATCGTGCCATCCCACCCCACCCCTCCTTGCGCAGGTGGCCTTCTCTCCTTCCTGCAGGGCGCCGTGAAGAGACCTTCTCACCCCGCCAAGGAGTCTCTTGCCGCAAGGACATGAGATATATATGAGTAGGTGGATGTAAACAAGGAGATTGTTTGTACTCGTGCATGTGTCGATATAAGAGCTGTCGGGTCGGTCTGAGCTAGGCACGGGAGAAGCCTATCGGTTTGAGGCTTGGTCTCTACAAGCCTGTCGGTTTGGGACAGACCTGGACCCGGTTACTGTTCCTGCTGCCTGGTTACTGTCCCAGCCGCCCGCTGCTCCTGCCGCCCATTACTGTTCCTGCCGTTCATTTACTGTTCATGCCGCCTGGTTGCCGTTCCTGCTGCCCAGTCACTGCTCCTGCCGCCCGGTTACTGTTCCCACCGCCTGGTTACTGTTCATGCCACCCGGTTACTGTTCCTCCGATTACTGTTCCAGACGCCCTGTGACAGAAATAGAAACAGGAACATCAACAAAAACAGAAGAAGACCAAGGTAACAAAAACGTACCGCAGGAACACCTCTCGTACCATGTTGCTTTGTGGCCATACCACGGACAAGGGGGGAGCCATGCCATGCCAGGGATAGGGGGGGGGGGCATGCCATGCCAGGGATAGGGGGGGGACCATGCCATGCCAGGGATAGGGGGGGCTGTGAGGGGGTGTGAGGAGGATTGGGGGGTAGGGGGGCCTTGGGGGGACCGTGGGGGGGGGTTTCACTCGCTTTTCGTTGTTATCACTCCACTTATTGCCCTCTCTCTGCTTTTTAGTACGGTACCATTTTCTGCTCCGTGCTTCCTTCTCTCTTGTACCGTCCAGTCCAATAATTTCAATTCATGGCCATCTGCTGTACCATCTTTGTACAAAAGCCTTCCCACTTCTTGTCTCTACCCTGTCAGGCATGCTACAATCAACACTTGCTACCTTACCACCGGGAATGAGCTTCAGATTCACAAAGCATCTCTCCTGCCATCCCTTTTGAGTTTTTGATAACTATTTGCTCTACCTTCTTTGTACAAAAGCACTCTGACCTCTGGTTCCTGCCCTGGCAGGCATTTACCTCATAATTCACAAAGCCTACTAATTGTTCTACTTGGGGGAATGCATTGCAATACATGCAATAACAAGCATGGATATATAATGATAGGCAATCATGGTGTCATGACAATCATGGCAAGATGGGAGACCTAACAACAAGGCGCACTGGCACAGAATGGCCATGCTGGTCAGTCCATGTGATTTTTCCAAACCTAAACGACTCTAACGGCAAGAACCTTATAATCGAGACCCTAAACACCCTTGATTTTCCGGGGCGAATGGTCATCTTCTTCGGCCAAACCCTCACGATAAAGCCCGGTGGAGGGACCACCTTCGCGCTATAAGTAGATTTCAGGTTGTAGACGTTTTTCACTCGCCGGTACACTACAATAACGCCGTGTAGTCGAGTTACAGCTATCGAGGCACGGTTGAGGTTCCAGGGGAAAACTGGATGTGCCTTTCCCATGCGCCGAAATCGCTTCTTCGTTCTTATCGGGTCCCTCATCATGAGGAAATTAACAAAGTGCTTGTGAGCCGCATGAAACGTGAGCCCAGGGTCCAAGACACGCGTGGGATCCACGTGCCCTCCTCCATAGTCCCACGCGGTCGCTTTCGTTCCATCTGCCCGTTGAATCGGCTGCCCATTCTTATTCCTCGTGTATGCCGTCGTAGTTATCGCGGAGATCACTTGCGAGGGGGACCAGCTCGGCTTGTTCTGCACCATCAGCGCCATGATCCCCGCCAACTGTGGCGTCGCCATAGACGTCCCGGACCAGTAATTGAAGTTCGGCGCATCGGTCGCAGCAGTTTTGTCTGATTCACCCGTACCTGCGGACCATAGTTGGTACCCCGGCCCAATGACGTCGGGCTTAAGAATGTCGTTGGTGGGAAGGTCGCGGATGAGAAGTGCGGGAGGGTAAAGTGGGTTTCGGGGGGGGCCGGTGGAGGAGAAGAAAGCGAGCTGGGGGGCGTTGGAGGAGTAGGAGACGGTGAAAGCGGACAGCGTGGCTGTGGGACTGCATTTACATGAAGGGGAGGGGAGGGGGAAAGGGGATGGGGGAAGCAGGAAGAGGAAAGGGAGAAGGGGAAAAGGGGAAGTGGGAAGATGAGAGGGTGGGGGATGAGAATTAGCAGGAGTGCTTTAGAGATGAGTGCAGGAGTGGGAAGAAAGCAGGGAAGCATTAAGGGAAGCAATGGAAGAAGAAATTAGGGAAGCGATGGAAGGAGAAAACAGGGAAGTGATTAGGGAAGCAATGAGGGAAGCGTTGCAGGCAGTGATGAGGGAAGAGTGGAGAGACGAGAGGGGAAATGAGTAGGAATTAGAGGAAAAGAAGAGTGGAGGGAAGATATGAGAGAATAGAGGACAGAGGAGTTGGAGAAGTACAGAAGGGAAGCGAGGAGAGAGATAAGGAAAGCGCAGAGGAAAGAAGGCTGGATGATAGGGAAGTAAGGGAGGAGGGTGGAGTGGGTTTGGTAGTGGGGGTTGTGGGGGAGGACAATCCAAGGAGGCAACTGGTTGATGTTGATAGAGTAAAACTACCATTTAGTCGACTCAAAAAAGGACTGATAGCAGAGACCTTTGAAAACTGAATACATTGTAGAAATATGTGGCCAAACTTTGCGAGAAATTGCGAGTCAAGAGAGAGAAAAGTCAACTCCCTAGGAGATTTTTACCTGCTTGCAGATCTGGTGTATCTTAGGAGAGCCATCCCCTGTGAGTATGTTAAGTAGATGCTGGGTGTCTTCGAGAAGGGAATGAAAGGCTGCGCATCGGACTTGGGTGAATGGCTATAAAAGAGTGTAGCAGCTTGCTTCATGTAGCGCATCTCGTATAGCAAGTTTTCCAGGTCGTCTGTCTCATGGCTCTGGCCAACAGAGCACACAACGAACTTGCCAGCGATTTTGGTATAATTCAGCCCGATGCAATCCTGGTTGTCCGCCTCGTAGAGGGAAGGGAGGCAGAAGAAGAAATCTTTACTCTTGAGCTTCTTTATAAAGTCTGTATGGTGCTTGAGAGTCGACCCTAACTTGAGAGGAGAAACAGCTAATGTGGGCGTCAAGAAGAGATCAACGCGGCAGCCACGGATGTGGTTTCAGCCAGCCAACCATACGGCCTGGATATCTGTCGTAACCCTCTCTCGCCTCAACAATGAATGCAGCTGAAGCTCCCTCGGTCTTGGACCCTTCAATTCTACATGGCACGGGTCCCTTGGAAGGACACAGTGGAGTGAGCCGTATAGACTAGGCAAGGACACGCCTCTAAACCACTTGGAACCGTTCTCACTAGCCCTACATCAAAATACACTGCAGAATGAGTCACGCAGATTAGTCCAAGGCACGCCTCAGAACCCCAAACTCGTACCGCATGTATATCGCGTATTAGGGGCAGATCTGACGCTGTGGCAGTGTTGCCTCCGAGGCTGCGCCCTGTGAGGGTGGTTCCATCGCCCAGGGTGACCACAGCCTTATAATCCCGCCCCATGGTGCTGCGGGAAAGGGCAGTGGTGGGGGGAGGAAGACTTTGAGGGGCAGATCTGATGCCGTGACAATGGTGCCGCAAAGTAGAGACCAGCCTTGTAATCCCTCCCCAGGGTGAGCACGGCCATTTAATCCCGCCCCATGATGCTGAGGTGGGGAACAATGCTGGTTTTAAAATTGGGTGAGAAATCACTTGCTCTGACGTCACCCCAGGGTGGGCCGGAAATCGCACTCCCTCCCGACTGTGCTGTAGTGGGGATGGGCACGGAAGTGGTTGGAGTGTGAAGGAGAGGGGAGTGGGATTGTGATGCGTGAGATATTCCTCAGAAAAATACAACCAAAAAGGGGGGAAATAAAAAAAGGGGTTTGGGGGGGGGGGGGGGGGGGGGGGAAGGATGGGAGTGACACATTCCAAAGGTGCCCTACAACCCTCTCTAGAAAAATTCAGCTTCTTCCTTGCTATTCTCACGTTCCGTGAAGTCACTTGCTACCCCACACCACCAGCATTCACACCTTTTTGAGCCACCTCAAAAGGTACCCCACACCACCACCACCATCCAGTCCCCTTGCCACGCACACTCCAACCATACCTTGCTCCCACTGTGAGGTAGAAGGGAGAGGCAGTCGAAAGAGTGCCCCACATAAACTTGCTGTAGGGGGGCCGACCCGAGTTTCCAGCCGCAAAGGCTGTGACCATTCCAGCCTGAATATTAGACAGGTGAGAACCGGAGGGTGAGAGGATGGGAATAGGAGGTTGAGAATGGGAGGGTGCGAACAGGAGGGTGAGAATGGGAAGGTGAGAATAGGAAGGAGATTATCCGAGGGATGAGAATGAGAGGGTGAGAATAGGAGGGTGCGAATGGTGTGAATGATTGGATGAATATGGGAGGCACAAGGTTGTAGCGTAGGCCCTGGGGATGAGACCTGCCAGTCTGGCAGATTGGGAAGCATGAGAGCATCGCAAAGGCCTGCTGCTCTTAGCCTTTCCCTCTTTGCCTTTCCCTCTTTGCCTTGTGAAAATGCTGCGATGACCACTATGCAGCCCTCGCAAGCAGGCTGCCAGCACCTCATTGTAACCCTGGATTCCCACCTTTAGGCCTCGCAGGTAGGGCAGATCTTGGAAGTACAAGGGAAGAGGCCCCCCCCACGAGCATGATATCACGTCCACCCCATCAGCTACTGCATTCTCCGCAGCAGCAACAAGATCAGAAAACGACCCGACCCCTTCAGATGTCACAGTGTTCCACAGCGCCTTGTATATTGCCAGTCTGGCTCGGGGTGCCATGCCCGAAGCTGTGCCATAGGTTCGGCCGCCTGTTGTCACCTCCACACCTCCGTTTCCAGCAGCGGCTCTGAAGTGGAACGAACAGGGGAGTAGGTAGGTGTGGCATTTTTGTAACACTTGTGTTAGGCTCGTTGATGTGCCGTGATTTGGGCTGCCTGTTTTTACATCCACCCATGTGTTACCAGCAGCCGCTTTGAAGGGGGAGGAGGAGGAGGAGGGGAGGGGAGGGAGTAGGAGAGGAATTTGAACGACACTCATGGCATGGTTGTATCATGCCATTTGAATGACACTCATGGCATGGTTGTATCACAACATTAAAATGACACTCATGGCATGGTTGTATCACAGCATTAAAATGACACTCATGGCATGGTTGTATCACAGCATTAAAATGACACTCATGGCATGGTTGTATCACAGCATTAAAATGACACTCATGGGGTTGTTTCCCAGCATTAAAATGACACTCATGGCATTGTTGTATCACAGCATTAAAATGACACTCATGGCATGGTTGTATCATGTCACTTGAAAACTCTCATGCCCATGGTTGTATCGTGGCACTTGAAAAACTCTCATGCCCATGGTTGTATCATGTCACTTGGACGTCCACACCAGCGTTCGCAGCAGCCGCTCTAATGGAGAAATGGGAGGGGAGAGGAGTAGGTGTGAGATTTGGATGACACGTGGCACTGCTTGTGGCCGATGCACTCACCCCGGACACCTCGTGCCATGTTGGAGCATGTCCAACCAGCATGTCTAGCATAGCTGTCCAGCATGCCTGTCCCGCACACCCCACATATCCCACATGTCTAGGAGGGGAGAAGCAGAGCGCATCGCACTCACCCAGCGCACCACATGCCTTGCTGCAGCATGTCCCGGGCGACAGGTAATCATCTTCGCTCCTCTTCACCTTGCCAAACTTCCACTCAGTGCCCTTCAGAGAGTCTTGAGACATCTCAAAACGGATTTAATATCTCGTCACTCACCCGTAATCGAATTTCATTTCCCATCACTTACCCTGCGCACCACGTGCCGTGCTGCGACCTGAAATTGTCCCGTGGTGACCGGTAATTTTTGTCGCTATCCACCTTGTAAAACTCTCGCAGAAAGCCCTTTAGAAAGTACCTCGCCCCAACCACCTTGCCGTTGCACGCCGTGAAGTCGTCTGTTGTGCTGCATACGCCTCTCCAGCGCACCGGGGCAGCAGAATAAGGCACTCCGTTTTGGTCCTGGGGACCGAAAAGGAGAGGAAGGGTGATAAGAGAGGGGAAGAAGGGTGGTGGTGCATTGTAGTGCACATGCCTTCTTAGTATGTCAGCACCGCATAGTAATGGGTCCTGGCGGGTGGTGGAAGGGTATAAAATAATCAGAGGGCGACAAAAAGAGGAGAGAGAAACGGGGGCCAAAGAAGTGAGGGCATGGAGCTTTAAGTAGACTAGTGTAGTGGCCACATCTCTCTTGGTGCACTCGCCTCTCCAGCGTGTTGGGGCAGCAGAGTAAGCCTCTCTGTTTGAGAGAGGGGAGGCGCAAAAGAAGAGAGATGTGGGGGAGTTGAGAGGGGATGGAATGAGGACGGGGGAGGACAGTAATGATTGGAAAAGAATATTAGCCGAGGAATTATTGACTGGCAACCTCTGAAAGTATTTCTAAGCCAGGGTAAAAGAAGTAAAAGTGCAAATCCAAAATGTTAAGACAGGGGTGTTCGGGCTTACAGGGTTGGAGAAGGAGGGGTGTTCGGGCCAGATCCCTGTGTCGATCACTCCAATGATTACTCCCTCTCCCGCGTTGCTCTGCCCACCATTCGCCGGCCACAGGCTCGAGTCGAGCTTGAGGAACTCAGGGGAGTGCACCGAGGTCACTCGCACTGTGCGGTCTCTCTCCACGTCTGCCACTGCTGGGTGCAATTTGAGGCGCCTCACCTCTGCAGCGGTGAGCTGCGCTGCGAAGCTGTTCATCAGATAGGTGTAGCTGAGGGGTGGAAAGGGGGGGGGGAGGGGGAGGGTGGACGGGAGGCAGGCGGCCCGAGGCGGTGAATGAGGCATAACCAATGGAGGTTACCCGCACTTGTGCCACTGCCTGGTGCCTCTTGAGTCGCCTTGCCTCAGCAACCTCCCTCGGGCACGACTTTCCCAAGTGCAGACGTTAGACACAGCATGCCTCTGTAGGTGACTTGTAAAGACAAATCTGCTCAACACGTATGGGTAGAATGCACGATGGGCCGAAATAAACCGATTTTTGGCCGAGTAACATTCCAGCTAATGAGGTGGCTTGAGATTGACCCACTTGCGAACCCCCACCTGTGGGAAAGGGACAAGGGTATAACCATAAGAAGCTTCTGAGCGGGCCAAAGTACCCCCTTCCACTCATGACTGATCCTACCTTTCCCCCTCTCTCCCCAACTCACCTGTGGAAAGCGGCCTAGGCTAGAGCCTTGAGAAACGTTGGGTGGACCAAGATACTGCCTCCCACCTCTAAAACCCGAATAGCCCCACCCCCCTCCCCAACCCACCCACACCACCCCTCTTCCCCCCTATCCCCCCTCCCCACCTGTGGAAAATGGCTGAGGATGGGATCTTAAGCGACTGCAGCAGGCTGCGGTGAGAAGCTTCCAGGAAGCGTGTGAAGTCCTGGACGTGTGGTAACCGCACGTCGGGTCGCGTGAGTCGGCCCCACGGCGTTGAGCGCATGATGCGTGCCACACGTTCACTCAGCTGCTGCACCGTCAGCACTGCTGAGCTGGCACCTCCCTCTCGGGGTGCTGCTGATGATGATGCAGATGACGGAGTGATAGGAACGCTGCTGACAGTAGCAGAAACAGTGGACGGGTAAAAGGATGAGTTTTGGAATGGCTGTGTGACAGCAGCAGCAGCAGCACCTGCACCACCACCAGCTGCTGCTGCTGCTTCCTCTGCTGCTGCGGCCACTGCAGCAGCAGCAACGCGGGCCAGCAGGCGCCGCCCAACAGACCGCGATTTCATCTTTCTCAGCCGCTCACCCACCCTCTCCACCAGCGCATCCACCCCGGTTCGCCCAAACGGCAGTGCGCTCACCTTCACCGCTCCTCTGATTCCTCCTCCTCTGCTTCCCACTCCTCCCAATCCTCTTCCTGACCCACCTGCTGTTGCTGCTGCTGCTACCCCTGCTATCTCCAACGCCGCCTCTGCAGCAGCTGCAGCAGCAAACTGAACATCAGCATCAAAGCCATCCTCAACAGATTCTGACCCTCTCAGTTTTTCTGATTCTGCCGCTGACATTGCTGCGGCTGCCCCTGCTGCTCCTCCTGCTGCTTCTGGTGCTGATCCTTCAGCTGATCCTGCTTCTTCTGCTGCTGACCCTGGTGCAGTGCCATTGCCACCAACTCCACCGATGCCCCTATTGCCATCACCATTAGCATCACCATGCTCCCCATAATCCTTATCATCCACGTCATCAGCGTCTTCCTCGTCCTCATACTCGTCTTCCTCATCGTCGACAGTTGCCGTGGCCCGCAGCCCGTTGACTCCCCCCCGGTACGACAGCACTGGCGACACCGACGATAGATGCACGATGTACTGCTTCGTGTTGGGCCTTCCAGCAGCTGGGATCAAGAGGTGGGGGGAGGAGGGATTCACAACAGGGGTTAGATCCGAGGAGCTTGAAAAATGGTGGATCTAAGAACAGAGACTCAGAGGTGGGCTAAGAGCTGGGAAGAAAGAGATTGTATTCGACTAGGAGTTATCTAAGTACCAACAATTGCACAGCCAGATTGTATCCATGTACTAGTGTCCTGGTTGGTTGTGCATGGATACTGCAGAGCAGGCCACGTTGGTAGGGGAGTTTTCAAATTTGGAGTACCCCATATCATGATGGACGGCAGAGCACGACCATTATGTTTGCCCGAGACATATTTTCTTCCATTTTACCTGGTTGTGCTGCATGATGCACTGCAGAACACGGCGGCACATGCATGACGAGCAAAACCGCCAGAAGAGCAACGATCATGGCTGTTGCAGTGACAGGCGGCTGGAGCCACGAAAAAATGCCGAGCTTACTACGTGGTAATCCACGACTCATGATGATCGCCATGTGCGTGTCAGACGGGCGGCTTGGATCGTGTGAGATGTCTGTGGGGGCCAACTACTACTAATAAAATCCCAAGGCAAGAGTACAACTTCAGTCTCAACTTAAATTTCCTTCATCTTTACACATATCTACTCGTAGGGATATAGGAAAGCAATCCGTCCTCGCTGTCCCAGAGAGGGAAAGGAAAGTAATCCGCTTTCTCGTAATTTCAAGAAAACAAAGACTTTAATTGAATTCCCTTTCAGCGGGTTGCTGAACCATTTTTCATCATTGGTCGCCAGGCTCTTGATAGGGTTGTTTGACTCTCGTGTTGCATGGTGCCTGGTAGTAGGACGGTGCAGCTACCAGGCAGAACTGAACCGCCTCTGTTCCCTCCAAGCTTCCTCCCGATCAGAACGTGGAGATCTCAATTCGCCTCAATTACCGGTTCTCGCCAATCAAAAAGGAGACCGAGCTTTTGTTTTCTCGGTTTCATGGCGTGACTGTAGATGATGATTTTTGCTTTTCTTCCTGGGTAGGTGCGTCTGGCAGGTTACACCGTGTGACAGTTCCGAACTGTACAAAGACATTCCTGGTCGTCACACGTCACCCTCGGTTCAGTGCTAGGGTGCCGATGATGGCCCTGGTTGGAAATGAGTTCTCTACACAACCGCCACCGCTGTGCTGTGTATGCGTGATGTGATGATGCAGCCTGGTTGGTGGAGGTCTGTTCCGTGCATTTCAAACCACCCCGGTTGGGGTGGTCGTTGGGTTGGAATTGGGAGGCTGGAATCGAACCGCCTCCAAAACGTAGTCCGACGGACTCTTCTGAAGTCTTACTTGACTCGTCGCGGCCAATCATAATTCGTGCTCAACTGCCTTGCTGGCATTCGTCCCTTACGGCACTTGGTGGTGGACTAGAGTTGACGCGGAAGGACTTCACTAAACTCAACTGCGGTCGAGAGGTTGCATGTAGAGAAAAACTCGTTTAGACTGTTTCGGTGTATCAAGTATTGAAAACAAAACTCATTTAGATAAAGTGAATGATGAAGAACACATAAAGATTATAATTATATCAACTCAGTCCATCACACCATTCCACCAGTACTTACCTGAAACATCTAGGTGTAAATTTAATAGGCCCTGCTGCGATCTAGATCGTAACGACTAACACATCAGGGAGTTTCACACATAATGTGTGGTAGTGGTGGGCCCTTGAACTAAGATCAGTGTGAATATAAAATGATTGAGATGAATAAATCATGCAAACACATTCGTATAATATGAGTACAAGGGGAATACCAAACGTCCTAGCTAGCCATGTACTCTAAGGGGTACATTCTCTTATTCAAATTCAGACCCAACCGTGCAGCGCGTACAGTTACGAAACCGTTCCCGCCCTTTTCCTCGATACTGCAGCTGTCCAATGTTGTCTGCTTCGACGGACTCGATGCTTTCCAACTGTTCGACCTTTTGCCTTCGTACTCTCTTCTGTGTTTTCCGTTCTGGCTACAGGTAGGAATGCACAGTGCAGCTTCTCAATTTACTATTCATAACACCCCCCTTCATTCCTCGCCGTAGCAAGTCTTGATACGTTTGACTACCCTGCTGAGTTAGGAGCAGTGTTTATACTGCTGTCGTGGCAGTCGCTTTGTGAGAAAGTCAGCTGCCATATCACATGTCGGGCACTAGGTTACTGTAGGTCAACCTTGCATTTGTCAACTTCGTCCTTGACGAAGAAGTACTGCAGCGCGCTGTGTTAGGTGCGATTCACACATCTTTCAAAATATATATGCTTATATATGATGTAGGCTATATGGGTTTTAGCACTAGGGGGTACAGAATTTCACTCAATGTTGTTGTTGTACCCCTCCCTTGACCCAATCACGACCATTCATCCCTCATAACTCTGACATGGTATTAAGAGCGATTAGTTCCTAACTCTGATCGTGACTGTTCTTTTTTTTTCGGGCCCACCAATTCTTCCTGCCGTACCCTGCCCGATCGTGGCCCCATGCCCGCTAGCGCCACCCTGCCCATGTTGGAATCACTGAACAGGAATGAATGAACTAGCAATGAAAAGAGTACAAGTACCTAACCCTAGAATTGTGTACCCCCTATAGGCTAACCCACTGTAGCCTAAACTAACACAACATATATAATGTTTGACACACCCCCATAGGCAAAGTGGGGGAGAACTAGGGGTCACAAGACCAGTCAAGGCAAAGCAAGGCAAAACAAGCTCAGGGTGGATCTCAAGGATACCACACAAATTCCGAGCACAAGCAAGTGGTCACAAGACCAGTTCACATGCAGGTTTATATATAGAGATCACAGTACAACAGACTCAAGAAGTAAGCAAGTGAGGTCCAGTAGGCACAAGGCCTAGAAGAGTGCAAAAGCGCTGATGGTCACAAGGCTGAAGCGCCTTGGTGAACACATCAGCAGTGTTGGCCTCAGAGGCCACGTAACGCAGGCGAAGCTGACCACGCTGCTGCAGCTCTCGAGCGAGGAAGTAACGCAGAGCAATGTGCTTCGTTCTGTGCTCCAGTCTGTGCTCCTCACACAAGGCAATGGCTGCCTTGTTGTCGACGTACAGCACTGGAGGAGAACGAGGCTGCTCTCCAAGGTCGGTCAGCAAGTAGGTGAGCCAACGTAGCTCCTGGGCCGCCATGGCTGTGGCGTAGATCTCAGCCTCACAACTGGAGCTGAGAACAGAAGAAGAGCGAGTAGAACGCCAAGAAACAGAACCAGAGCCAAGACTGAAGGAGTAACCCTGAGACGACCGCTGAGTAGCCTGGTCATCTGCCCAAGAAGCGTCTGAGTGCCCAGTGAGAACAACTGGGACTCGCCCTCCAAGCACTAGCCCCATGCCCGACGTACTGCACAAGTAGCGCAACACCCTCTTAGCTGCATCCATGTGCTCCTTCCGGTGACGGCCGGGAGCGACATAGCGTGCAAGAATGCTGAGAGGGTATGCAAGGTCTGGTCGAGTGCAGGTCATCAGGTACATGAGGCAACCCACAAGCTCTGGATACGGGCCACTCGGCTCTACGGACTCATCCGAAGGCAGAGCTGAGAGCGAGTGACCGGTAGGCAGAGGAGTGGGCTGAGGCGAGGAGTACGTGAAGCGGAAGCGCTGAAGGACCTGCTGCACCATGTGTGACTGAGTCAAGGTGATGGTGCGGCGTGCTCTGTCCCGGGTGATCCGCAAGCCAAGATAGCTTGTCAGTTCACCCAGGTCTGTGCACGTGTGTCTCTTCTGCAGCTCCGACTTCACGTGGGCGAGTGCCACAGTGTCAGCAGTAGCAAAGACCAAGTCGTCGACGTACACAAGGACGTAGAACGGCGGCAGTGAGGTGTCGGTGCGTAGAAACAGCGACGGGTCAGCAGTAGAAGGCGCGAACCCAAGAGCCGCAAGTGTAGTCCTCAGTGTGTCGTGCCACTCACGAGGCGCCTGGCGGAGACCGTAGACTGGCCGTCGGAGGCTCCACTGGGTACCAGGAGGGAACGACCCAGTGAAGCCAGGTGGACGGCGCAGCCAGATCTCCTCGTGCAGGCTGCCCTGCAGGAAAGCAGTGCTGAAGTCAAGCGAGTGGAGCTCGTAGTCACGCTGAGCGGCGACGTGCAGCAGAACCCGAAGAGTGGTCATCTTCGGGGTCGGGGAGAAGGTCTGGAAGAAGTCAACTCCCTCGCGCTGACTGAAGCCTCGTGCAACGTAACGCGCCTTGAAGACAGGCGGAGAACCCGGCGGCCGCTTCACCCTGAAAATCCACATGCCACTGACGATGTTCGCCCCAGGCGGGGGAACCTCGTCGACGTAGGTGCCTGTGGACTTCCAGGAAGCCATCTCTGTGTCCATGGCTGACTGCCACTGAGAGGAGTAGGGACCGGCCATCGCCTCTGCGTAAGAGCGTGGGGTCGGGATGTCTGGTGCATCCGGGTCTCCCTCAGGGGCAACAAGCATGGACACGAGATGGGGCAAAGCGGCAGCAAAGCACTGGAACTCCTCCTGCCTGTCCTCAAGGACGTCAGTGCCAAGAGCACACTCACCCCCGACGGACGGAGGACAGACAGACTCAGACTCAGCAACTAGGCTAGCAGCGTATTCTAGACGACAGCGAGCAGCAAAGTCGACAAGCTCAGCAACTAAGGCAGACGCAGCAGCAGACTCAAAGGAAGGGTCAGTGACAACAGTGGCCAGGAGACGCGTGACAGCAGGACTGGTAGCACGAAGAGAGTCTGACCCAGGGTCAGGAAGAGCAGGAAGAGAGGAAGCAGGAGGAGACGGCAGTGGGACACGCTGTGGAGCAGTGGACGGACGAAGCGCCATCCGGTGAGTGCCTGGGACAGCAGGAAGACGCTGACGCTGGACTCGACGACTAGAGAGAGCAGTGCGGACAGGCGACCCAGGACGAGACTCAGGCGACGCAGGACGAGACGCAGGCTCACGCCGCTCAGTAAGACCTCCAGTCGGACCAGTGTAAGGAGCAGGACCAAGGAGAGAGGAGGCAGACGGTAACGCCGACTGCAGCTGGACAGGCTGAGGACACTCTAAGGAGGGAGGAGGAAAAGGAGGAGGAAGCTGACCAAGAACCTGCTGAAGGAGCGGAACAAAGTACGGCTGAGACCGAGCAGCGACACCAGAGCCAGCAGGGACACCCGCACCAGGGTCCGCAGCACCAGCAGCAGCTCCAGCGCCCACGTCCTCAGCACCAGCGGTAGCTCCAACGCCCGGGTCCTCAGCACCAGCAGTAGCTCCAACGCCCGGGTCCCCAGCACCAGCAGCGGCTCCAACGCCCGGGTCCTCAGCACCAGCAGCAGCTCCAACGCCCGGGTCCTCAGCACCAGCAGCAGCTCCAACGCCCGGGTCCTCAGCACCAGCAGCAGCTCCAACAGCAGCGGGGTTCGTAATACGAGGCACGCCACTCCAAAGAGTG